CGGTGACCGTGTCTCGGGCGGAGGGTGAGAGTTCCCCCCTCCCAGAGACAGGGGCTTGAGCGTTTTGCTCTTTTTCAAAACGCCCTCTGCGGGCATCACCGCCGTACCCACGCGCTCGCCGAATCGGGTGCCGCGTTTTAAACCTCCTGTTCATTACTGTTGGCTTGTTTTGCAGGTTCCAGAGGAGAAGAGGTCTCGGAGGAGGACCCTCAGATCGATATAGCCACGGTTCAGGACATGCTCAGTAGCCACCATTACAAGTCCTTCAAAGTCAGCATGATCCATAGGCTTCGATTCACCACTGATGTTCAGTTAGGTAAATCAATCCGTGCTATAACGCTTAGGAAAATGGAACGGTTCAAGCCTTTGGCCGTCTCTAATAGCTGTCTGTCTGTCTCAGATGTTTCCAAAGTGGTCATTAGCATGTCGGTCCGTTTCATCGTGGAGCACATCACTTGAAAGCGTTGCGTTTCAGCAGATAAAATTGTTTTCAGTTGAAAATACTTCAGTATTTTTATTATCCAGTCAGCTAGCACATGTTTCTTCTGAAAGAAGGCTGTTATTTAATGACATCATCTCTTTTTCTTTTTGATCTAGGCTTCCTAATGGAAAGCTTCATGCCAACTGTTTTGTTATTTTTAAATAAGGCTATGCAAAATTGGGAATGATTAGGTTTTTCCTTCTCTGAGACTGAAAGATTTTAACAACCAAGTGGAAATTTGAGGTAGAACAAAATAAAACTAGCGTTCTCTAAAGGTTTTATATTGTCCTTACTAGCTTTGTGAATGCTTTTGAAAACCCGAAGGCCAAGGGATGACAGAATCTTGAATTATAAAAGCCCCATTACTGTTTTAAAATGATTGAATGGCTTTTTATCTTTGTGTTTAAATTGTGAAGAGTTGATTAATGATGCATTGGTAGGTGACCTGTGACATTCCTGCAAATACCTTCCATAAAGAAATGATTCAGCAGTAAAATATTAAGTGCCATAGTGTTTACAAAATACATTTATTCTGCAGAATTCAGTAGAATTGTTAAATTGAAACTATACGAGTTCCTGTGTTGTTGTCACTACAGTCTCTTGATTCTTCCATCCTTAAGCACATATAAAAGTATATGTCTCTCAGATTTTTACAGAAGAGGCTTTCTTGGTTTATTTTGAACTGTCTTGTTAAGGAAGAATTTATATGCTGGTGCTGAAGCAGGACAGTGCTGGGCATATTTTCTGCTTTTGAGCAAACTATCTGGGTGTGATCGTTCGCTTCCAGTGAAGTTTGACTCACTGTATCTGGAAAGTGTCAGAAACGAGAGCTTGGAAAGGTCATGACAGATCACTAAAGATAAATGGTTAAGGGAGAATAGCTGTTAAACGAAACAAATGGCTTAACTTGTGTAGCAGTGAAGGAGCTGACCCTGTCCAGTAGCGTAAGGACCATAAAATTTCCCTTTTATAACAATCTGTGAACTTGTATATTCTTGATGGCAGCACACTGACAATGTGATTTTTATAATCTAATTGTTTTTTAAAAATCAAAGAAAACCCCAATGGGGTATTCAAAATTTGGGCCAATGTACAGCATGAAAACCTTTCAATAAAGTCAAAAGTGTGTGTATGTTGCTGGGGTTTCTCCTGAATTTTCTTAAGAAATGAAAAGAGCAACGCATTGAGGTGTTACTTGGGTTAGGGCTGCTGAGTGGTAACGTGTTCATCTTCTGCGACTGACGGCCTGCTCCATGCAATCTGAAATGTAAAAATCAGTGTCCAGGTTTTTTTCATCACTCATCAGTAACTGTGGTTTGGGAGCTGTTCTGTGTCACTTTAATGATGGCCGGTTGCAAAGGCTTTTCTCTGCAGCATTTTTATGTCATCGGTTTTATGTAGCAGCCTCAGCAAAGCAGCAGTTTCTCTAGAGGACGCCAAGAATCCGGAATCATTCCGGTGCTCCTATTGACAGTACGGATGGTGCTGGTCGGCCGTCAGCCCAGCCGAGGTGCAGGACAGTGGTTGGGCTGAAAACATCCCTGTGGTTCTGGGGGCGAGTCCCAGTTTCCCAGGCTCCACGTGGAAGGATGTTTGCATGTGACAGAACCCAGAAGTGGTGGAGAAACCGCTCAGCGTAGCTCATCTCCGCTCCCTGCCGCTTGCTCCGGCGTCGTAAGACGTACTCGTGTCGTTGAGTTTGAGTAGGTTCAGTTCTGGGTTTTGTTTCGGTTGCATAGAACAGGTAGCAATAGTGGGAGCTCTGTTTGTGAGTTACTGCCTGCACACTGGTACTTTTTGAAATGTTTTAGCTGTTTTGAGGCCTGATGATTGAATTCGAGGCAAGGCTTACCGAAAACACTGGAGTGCGCTCGGTCTTCTGTACATCGTGTGTAGTTCTTCCGTGGTGGGAAGCGGTACGGAAATGACCGCGGAGGAGCGGCCACCTTTTGACTGATGGTTTTATTACAGCAGAAGGGTTTAGCCGTAGCAGTTTCAGGTCTGGGGTTTTATGGTTTAGCTCATATTACAGTGTAATGCACGTACAGTCGTACTCGCAATGTTTTTACAAAGGTTCTATCACGTTGTGAGGGAATAAGACACAGTTGCTTGTGTATCACGTTAGCAAAACTAAAAGCAGCATATTGTCGTGGAAAATTACTGCTGGCAAGTCTTTCAGAAAAGGGGGGGCAGCTGCAGACCCCAACAAAGGAAGCGAGAGCAGAACAGTGATACTGGACTAATACATTGATGACATTTCTTTTGATAAAATGAATGAATTAAAAAAAAAATAGTAGAAGCAGCATTTTTACTTGGTTTTTGAGTATGACTAATTTGTGCTGCAATACAGAGACTGCAGAAGCCACATACATAATACTGTTTTGATTTTAGGTTTCAACACATACAGATTGTGAGAACAATAACAGAAAAAAGACAACATTCTTTGTCAATGTGCTCCTTGGATGTGTGTGAGCTTAAGCCAGTGATGTCGAGATACAGAAATAATGGATGAAGTATACAGCAACAATTTGCAGATAAAAATAATAGAAGTTAAAGTGTATTTTACATGATAAAAAAAAGATGAAAGAGGAGGAAGTCTGTTCCATCTGAGATGGTTACAAAATCCATGCTTGGTGAAGTAGCCTCTGCTGAAAAGATTGATGCAATGGGGAGTGACCTTGGCTTGGAGCAGGAGCCGGTGATGTATGTATGAGCATCTCTCTGCTAAATGGACCCAGATTTGTAGCACTAATATACATGGAAGCCCAGAACCAAACTCAGGATGGCAATAAATCAACAGCCACTTTGGGTGTCATTTCTGGTTTATATTCCACTATTGTTCTATCACTTTAATTCATGTCACTATCATCTGTTCATCTGGAACAGTTTTATATAATTTTCCAGTGGAGTTACCTGACAAATCCTATCAAATTAACAAGGTGTATTAACAATATTGACTGACTGTGAATTCTGGAGTGGCAGGACCATACAGTGAAAATTTTTTAGGGCTCTTTTCAGGGGTGACGTTCAGAGGAAGGCACAGCTAACAACCCTGCACACAAAGAATTTGCGCCCTTATTTTTAGAACTTGCTTTGACTTTTTTCAGTGAGAAAATATGAACTTGTACCATCAACTTCACACGTTTTCCTTAAACTACAGAAAATGCCATTTTGAATAATTAACCATTACAGTGAAATAACAACGCCCATTTTAAATAAATTAAATTACAAAACAAAATGGGCTCCAGATACAGCATCAGCCTGCTCAAATTACCCAGTCCTAGCAGCCCTTGTGTTAATTGGACTCTTGATACAATGTGTAATTGAAATGTGATCTCTCTGATGTGACGTATGTTTAATGACAAGGCGCATTCTTGGGTTAGAAGAAGGGGGGAGGGGGCTGGTGGCGTTACAGCCACGGCAGGAGTCGGGGCCGGAGCGAGGGTGACGCTGCGCTGGGCGGTGGGACGGCAGCGAGGAGCCACCGGAGGGATCTGCTCCTTCCTCTGGCTGAGCTTTGATGTGAGAGTTGCATAAATTACAAGCAAACGTGGTTTGCGAATTCTGCAGTTATGACCAGACTTTAAGAAATATCGAGTTAATTTTGGAGGAGTTGGGAGAGTCGTTATGTGTGTGGCATCTTACTTTTGTTTGGTCGCATCTATTAAAAGTTTTACCATCAGCTCCCTGAGTTTTTCTTGTGCTTCGGGCGAGCCGAAGCGTAATGTGTTTGAAAGCCAAAACCCTCCAAAGGGAGAAGGTTATCTCCGCTGTTTTTCTGGAGACGCAAGCGTTAAATGATGTTTAAATACTTTTTTCCTGTATTTCTTTCTTTTGTCGCTTTCTCGTGAACTTCACCTGTAACTCATGGCTGAAGAAGTGTGATTATTTTTAAGACTCCGCCCGTGTTGATGCTGCGCCATAACGGCCGCTGTGGATTACCGCGGGATGCCGTAGGCAGCGTCCCGCTGGAAGGGCCCTTCTCGCACAGCTTCGGGAGTAACGTGGGGAGGGATGATGGAGGAATTTTCGGTTCTGGCTCACGGGATCCGCTGGTGGATTCGCGCGTGGCCGTGTCCAGGTCAGCCTCGGCGCAGCGGTAGGGAAGCATTGGCCATCCATCTGGGAAGGCCGTGTTGGGAGCGGGGCCCGGCACCCGTGCCAGGAGCTACACAAATCCTCAGCTTGCTTCCAGAGCAGCCTAATTAGAGCTGGCTTTAAAATGCCAGCAGTGGGAAAGCGCACAGGATCCACGGGACTGGATGCCTTTTGTTGACGAGTGTCTGTAACACAAAGAGCGTTTCCGTAGCGCTGCGATGGGTGTTGTCCTCTCGTGTAGAGCATCTCACGCCTGCGCTGCCTCGGGGGCAGACCAGGGACCGTGTGGGATAGTGTCTGTTACGTGTAATAGTGGTGATGGAAAAACCAGCAGTATCTTTGTATAAATCTTGCAGCTCATGTAGCTACTGCTTCCAGAAGAGCTCTGTATGTGTTGAAGAATTTTTTCTGTGGTATGTCTTTCTTGTTGGTGTGCTTATGCAGGAGAATAAAATGCGGATTATCAATGCAGTTCGATAACCGTTTGGTTTCAAAAGCTCCTGTGCTTTCAAAAAGCCCAAAAGGGCAATATACTTTCGTCCCATTTAAGATTTATAAAGTGTGTCAAACGGCTGATATGAAATCGCTTAAACAGATCACTATTGTGGCTCTCTATTCTTTCTCATCTCAGGTATTTCTGGAGACAAGGTAGAGATAGACCCTGTTACTAATCAGAAGGCCAGCACTAAGTTTTGGATTAAGCAGAAACCCATTTCAATCGATTCTGAACTCCTCTGTGCCTGTGACCTTGTGGAAGAAAAAAGCCCAAGTGAGTAGTCCTTTTTATTTATGTTCTCTCTTCTCTCCCTCCCTGTGTGTGCTGGGTGCCCAAAGAATTATTGCTACCATGTCCTTTTCTTTCTATAGGTGTATTTTATTCATTATAGGATGTTTTTAATCTGACTCGATTCTGTTATAGAGAACACAACATGAAGAGATACACGTGATCCGAGTGTCCTTTTAATGCTGCTTACAGCTAATGGCATCGTTAAGAGTGCTTCTCGCTCCCCATCGGTAGCTGCTACCAGTGTCACACCAAGGAGACCCTGGCCTTGCCTGCCTGGTCTCCAGCCCCATAGCACGGTAGTCAAATACATGTTTCAACATAATTGCAATTTTTTTGAACTTCTTAACATCCAGACTGGTTTTAAACAATTTCTTAGGTGTCACTGAGGATCTCCGACGTACCGTAAGTACCTGCACAGTCTGAATTTGCTTCAGCCGTGGCTGCAGGGTCACGGGGATTACAACGTGCCGCTCTTCACAGTTGAGTTCAGGAAAGCAGTGACTGTGCCCGGCCAGCGGCGAGAGCTGCGCTGGCTGGAGGGCGGGTTGGACGTCCCAGTTCAGCCAGTCATCAACAAGAGGTCAGAGTTTGCTGCCTTCAGAGTGCGACTTCGAAAGCCAAGTGCTTTTGCTTGTTGTATCAGTGTTGAAGTGAGAGTTTATATCTGTAAAATTTGTTTTAAAAAGCACAGGATAGGCCCTGGGGGAATTGGGCAATGTCTCCCGGTGGTGCCAAAATGTAACTATCTACTATCAAAAAGTAGCTGCGGTTCAAAAGCTCAGATGGATTTTATTGCACTTGTGCTTTTGCAGGGCAGGGATGCTCAGTATTAAGTACTTATCTGCAAGGTGACAGAGAGGGAGAATTATGTGATACATATTTACAGAGGTAATGATCTGTTGAATTCTCTTGGAAGAGTAAATTTATGACTGCCGCAGATTTTATCAGCAATTATTGAACTATATCCTTCTCCCCTTCATTACCCCTTCCTACTTCCATGTTCTTAGTCCCGTCATTGTCTTCCTTTTCTGTCTCTCCAGCAAGATTTCGTGCTCCTTGGGAAGGCATGATCCCAAGGAGAGACTTCCCTAACGACCAGGCAGTCCAAAACGTGCCGCGGTTGTCTTTACAGTCCAAGGGGCAGTTTTGCACTTGTAAATGTATTAACGCCGCTGGGTTTGTAGCAATATTTCATTTCAAATGCAAACACTCGTGGTGGTAAAATTGTGCCCACAAGATGATGCTGTATCTGAAAAGCAGCCTTGAAAGCTGAGGGTTCCAGCTGACACAGCCATCAACGCGGTGTTCAGGCTGTCCCTGAGCACCTCCAGAGCCGCGTCCTGCTGGGATGGGGTGCTCCAGCCCCAGAGGCGGCAGCTGCTGCGGTAGGAAGGGACACTCGTACCCAAACCTGCCAACCCAGGCAGAAGGAAGGGGCAGAATCTCAACCTCCACATGGAGTCCAGCAGCAGAAGGGCAGCACCTTCACAGGGAGACCCTTGAACAAGAAGAATTGTTGTCGCTTCTGGGAAGATGCTGACCGGTTACGACAGAGGCAACCTTTATGATACTGAGGTTTTTCACTCATTTTCACGTGGCCATCATAAACTTTTCCTATTAAACAAGTGTTCAGCACAGTTCCAAAAGGAGAAGATAATTCCTCTTGAAATCTGCTGACCTCTTCCCAATTCACTAAAGATGTTCCCAAAGTCATTATTTTAGGCCAGTAGAAGAGACTTTTAGTGTGACATCTCAGAATGATGCATTTTGGGGAACTCTTAACAGCAGATCAGTATCTCTTGAATTTTAAATGGAAAAAAGTTATTTTAGAAGCATAAACGAATGAAACTCACTGTATTTCACAAGTTTTGTCTGTGATTTTTATCAGCATAGTGATATATGTTTGTAGCGGAGTTTACATCAAAAATTATTCCCGGATCTTCCTTGAATGAATTATTGCAAAGAAAGAGAGGCTGAGTAAAGATAAGGTCTTTGAGTTCTGCAATATATTTTGTTTTCATGTTTTTATCTCTTGTAACACAAACACGCTCCATCTCGTCTTTGGGGAGCGTTCGGCACATGGAGCCGTGCTGCAGCTACAGCGGGGCAGAACTCGGGGCGCGTTTCATTCCGCTGCCGCCCTCCCCTCGACGCCGGCCCCGGGGCCGTGCTGGAGCCGAGCGCTGCCGGGCTGGGCTGGCGTCCTGGAGCCCTGCAGGGAGGGAAGGGAGTTCAGGAGCCCCCGAAGGTGCCGTTGTGTGTGCAGCAAGGGCCGGGGGTGCCGGGAGCGGGGTTTGGTGGTTGTGGCCAGTGTAGCTGGAGGCTTCTGCAGCAGTTGTTCCTCTGAACGTGGTAATTAACACGGTTTAATATTCAGTTAGTTCCCACTTTCTGCAGATTAAAGAGGTTTCGGAGTTTTTACTGGTGCTTTTCTGCAGAAATGTAAAACCAGAAATTGTGTATGAATATAGTGGAGAGCCTCGTGCTTGTTTTGTTTTCTCTGAAAAGACAGGCTCCCGCAGCGAAGCTGTAGTGGCACTTGTGTGAGCATTAAAGGACGCAACAACTTCAGAGATGCTGCGTTGTGAATATTTAGGGACAGACTCGGAGCTGTTCTGGACAGGGCTGAAGCTTTCCTGTGCTGTGAGTTCACAGAACTCTGAGCTGCGTTCAGTGGAAACGGAAAATGAAAATAGAAGGCTTTAGCATCTGATTTGCCATTAGTGTGGGTATTGTGGGCAGGAATGGCTGATGATTTTTGTTTGCCCTTGTAGTAGGCCTGGGTCAGCATTTGAATTTTTATTTGTAAATTAAATCAGACTCCCTGAATTTAGACAGAGGGAAGAGGTAATGGCCCTGCTGGCTCGATCAAATGCCATTAGAACCTGAAAACACTGTGTATAAACGGCTTGTTTAAATCAGGTTCGGTCTGATTATCACGAAAGATTCTGAATGTTTTGAATCTTGAAAGGAAGCATCCTATCATTGAGAAATAAGATTTAAGCCTTAATAAAGTAGTTGTCATTTTTATAGCTGAAAAGAGCTTTGTATCTCAATTAAGTGTACATAATATAAAGTCTTAAGGAAGCAACATAATACGTTTAATGCAATTATATCCCTTTGCAATAGTGTAATTTAAAGGAAATCTGATTCCGTTAATGTCTCTTACATTACTTGGACAGGGGAGAAACTTCAGTGTCACTGACCGCTGCCGTGTTACAAAGTGCCCTGCGGACCGAGCGCGGCTGTGACGGATGCGCCGTGGCCGGCCCCTCCGAGGGCC